AAGTAATATGTCCCTTTTACAAAGGAGGAAAATGAGTCTCAGAGAAGGGTAAATAACTCGCTAGGAAGTGATCAGACCATTCTTCTGGCTCTTTTCCCGTTGTGCCAGGCTAATCTCTTAGATAAAGGGGGAAAAAACTGTTTAGGTTAAAACCTAAAATACAGGGTATTGCAGAACACTGGAATTTAGCTGAAATATTATCTCTCAAGCTACAACTTCAGTTTCCTCATCTATAAAATGGAGATAAACATTGCCCACCTAACAGGGCTGTTATGAGAATCAAATGAGATAACACATGCAAAGTGCTTTGCAAACCTTAAAGCACTCTAAGAACACTAGCTATTATTACGATTACTTCAAAGGTTAGCTGAAATTTTAATCATCTCTCCCAAAACAGTAATTACATTTCCTCTTAGACAGACAATGCTAATTAGGCTCCTAACATATATACTGTACAATCTGAAGCTTTTGACTACTGAAATAACATTCAATAGGAAACATGATTATTGTTTTATATAATTGAATTGTATTTGAAATAAGATATATAATAGGGCCAGCACATGTTGCAGTTTTCATTTTTTTTTAGTCATCAGAAGCTTATTTTAGAAAGAATAAAAGGTATAGGCAGCAAAGAAAGGGCCAGGGCCAGGACTGGTTTTCATCTTGCAGTTTTTAAGGTACACAGTGGACAAGGTGCTTCACTAGTGTCTGTGTTGTATTCAAACATAATTTGAACCCTATTCTACTTGGGTGGCAATTTTTATGTAGCAACTTCTCATATTTATGCAATGGCTTAAGATTTACCAAGTATTTCCCTCACAGCAGTCCTGCAAAGCAGATAGCGCAAACATTAAGTTCATTCTAGAGATTAGGAAACAAAATTGGCCCAGAGAACTGATGGGCTTGTCCCTAACACCTAAGTCTGCACTCTTCCTACCACATCATCTTGGCTCTCAAATAAAAAAAAAGTCTAAAGTAGAAAATGTCTAGGTACTCACTTGGTGAATGGTCACTCTTCCTCAGTGTAATAACTGAAGATATGCTCCAGCCTCACGACTTCCAGTCATTCAGCCAAGCTACTGTATCATATGCCTGTCTCTACCAACCTGCTCCTCCCCATTTTTAGCAATACATTTGGATCAGACCTGAAACCTACATCTCTATTCACAGGTCTTCCAAAATCTATACATCCCTAGTCTCTGGGAAAATCAATCCACTCATCTTTGGTGCTGCAGTTCTAGAGTCCAACTAGCCCACTTAGCTTGTTATCCATATTGGCGGGACCTAGATGACGGACCACATTTCACATTCACTTCCCATCTGTCCACATGGCCAGCCCTTTTCACCCACTGCCTACCCTGTATGCTTCCTTTTCCTTTCTCTCTTTTCCAATTTCCCAGGAAAAAACTCCCTCCCTTGTTGTCACTGCTCTATATGTGTTATCTTCTTCTATTATAACAATGTAAGCTCTTTGAGGGCAGGATCCCCAGCATGTAGTATACATTCTGGCATATAAGAATTTTAGGATACTCTTTTAGGGTAACCCATTCAGCCAAAGTCAGTCAACTTTGCAACTTTGTTAAAAGTTACTGTAGAACAAGCCAACAGATAAATTACTAAGTAGTTGAATAGAAAGAGACCTTACTTCCTTCCATCAAAAATAAGTTGCTTTGTTTCCTTAAAAACAAAATCTAGACAGATAAACATTTTTACCAAATTTAAATGTTTTAAGCTATAAGATCTTGAGGAATGAAAATTTACTTAAGACAAAATGAAACAACATGGCCTAATAATGGAAACTTAGAATCAAAAGACTAAGCAATTAAAAAGTATTTATTGCACCAACTATGTCCCAGGCACACTGCTACAGGCTGGGAAAACAAATATAAAAGTAAGACAACTCCTACTTTAAAGGAGCTTATATTCCACCAAAACCTAGTTCTAATTCTGCCTTTGCTACTTATTACCAATGTGACTTCCAGCAAATCAGTTCCCCTCTTTCTCATCTGGAAAATAAGAGGGGTGGGATTATGATCTCTAACGTATCTTGGATGATAAATCCCAGGAGTCTCTGAAAACAAAATCATAAAAATGCAGTGGTATTTGGAAAAGGTTTTTAAAGCTCGCTCTCTCTCTCTCTCTCTCTCTCTCTCTCTCTCTCTCTCTCTCTCTCTCTCTCTCTTTTCTAACATGAGGGGAACACTTAATCACTTAAGTCTATGGGCAATTAATCTGGGCTAAGACAAATATAAAATCTCAGTAATCTTCTTGGATCTTTAAACGAACAATGTAACAGATACCTGGAGTTTAGAAAAATGAAAGGAGATAGCTGGGATACTTAAAGATAAATCATCTAAAGGGAAACTCCAAAGGTAAACTTCCAACAGACTTTTCTGACACCATCAAAAGTATCTCTCATTTGTAAACACACATGGCCCATTATATCCAGAGGGCCCAAGACCATAGCTTTTCTAAGGCTTTTACAGTAATCAAGTCAGTACTTACACTGCTTTTGGAGTAGGCATGGCAATTGACTGCCCAGAGCAAAATACCTTTGCCTGGCTGCCACTCCCTCATTTAGGTTGTCTCATTCCAGTAGAATATATGGATCTCAAAGGTAGAGGTTGTCTTTCTTTTGCATTGCATCAGCACAGTGGCTGACACATAATAAACACTTATTTTTTTTCATTTATTTTCCATTTAAATTCTAAACTTGTCTTATTATACCATGGTTTCCTATATATTCTACCCTAAGAGTTTTTATTAGTTTCATTTCCTTAGAGTCGCCATATCATCCCACAGTTTAAAATTTTTTCATTAGTTAAGTACTTCCTTCCAAATTTCCCAAAGAAAAGATTAAACCTAGATCACTTTTCTTGGCAAAAGACATTTTGATAGCTTTAAGTCGTAAGGTGATGGGCATAGATGTAGCTCAAATAATAAATGATGATGCAAAAGAAAAAAGAAATAAAACCAGCTGAGAATGTCCAATAAATTATTTTCTAAGTTGCCCATGACAAAGAAAACCAAAAAAAGTGCTTACAGTCTCTTCATTTAGATCACCATAGAACCAAATCAGTGCCATTATCCTTGAAATGACCAATAGAAAGACTCTGTGATCTTTAAGATACATAACTCCAAATAATAAAAGTAGCTAATAGCAGCAAACATTTATAAAGCTTTAAGGTGTGCAAAACACTTTCCAAGTGTCATTTCACTTGATCATAAAATATCTCACTAAGTCAGATGTAGCCATCTCATGTGGATTAAAGTTATTAAATCAGCTTAACTATTAACATTAAATATAGTCCCGTGTAACAACTCTGCCCAAATGAACTGGATGGTTTTTCTGAAGGATGCTATGAAACTGCAGGCTGTGTACACGGAAGATGACATGACTCCTGACTGGCTGAGAGAACATGAAGCTACAATACAGCATACTTCAGAAATGGTTCAAGTACTTCAGAGGAAGCAAGCTCATACTTCTGAACAGGAAAGAAAACTTCCTGGAGTCACAGACACATGGGAAGCTCGCCTCTGCTTTGCCACATATGCTGTCCAAGAGACTGTGAAGAGCAGACTCCCCTTGGTCAGAATGTTCTTCTTCCTGGGAAATAGATATCTTATCTCATTTGTTAAATCTTCATCTACTTTTGTATATTCTTTGATCTGCTCTAATATGTATAACTTCCCCAATATCTGTTTATTGTTTACCTTGATAAATAAGTGTACTAGCTATCTGTGATGATCTTTTGTGTAATCAGTGGTAAGAGAGTTATGCTGCTGACAGTTGGCTAAATATCCCCTTTCCTTTCTGAGAATATTAAGGAAAGTGGCTTTTATCCTGGGCCCTAAAGTACTGTACCTCTACACTAACAATATTAACTGGAGAGATAAAATACTGGTCTGCCCTTCTAAGTGAGACTGCTATTTCTAACCTTTACAAGAAGCCAGAGATGGGATGTGACTAAGTGCTTACTCGTCCTCTTACCCACCTCCAAGAGTGGTATGAGGTCCTCTGGACATCTTTGAAGAAGTCCTCCGCTTACATAGGTATGTAGCTTCACAGTTCAGCATTCCCTCAGCCAATCAGAAGTCATGTCTCCTACCATGTATCTAATGTGAAGCTTCACAAGGTTGTCCCGAAGAAAAAACACCAACTCAAGTGAGCAGAGATGCTACATATGATTAGAGGACTTTCATTTAAATGCAAAGACTTTCACAAAATATTGCATTTCAAACAATATAGTCAAACATACACATAATAAAAACGTCACGTAAAAAGTGTTTATATATGCTGTTTACAACTCTAATCTGACATAACATTGATTACAAATTCATCACTGATGTTTTTTTAAAAGCTGGTTTGAATTGGAAATTGAGAGGATGCCCATCAATTGGGGAATGGCTGAATAAGCTGTGGTATATGAATGTAATGGAATACTATTGTGCTATAAGAAAGAAATGATGAGCAGGCAGACCAGAAAAACCTGGAAAGACTGGTATGGACCGATGCTGAGTGAAGGGAGCAGAACCAGGAGAACGTTGTACACAGTAACAGCCTTTGCCCTTCTCAGCAATGCAAGGATCTAAGACCTCTCCAAAGGTCTCATGATGGAAAATGCTATCCACATCCAGAAAAAGAACTATGGAGTTTGAATGCAAATCAAAGCATACTATTTGCTATTTTTTTCTTCTGATTTGTTTTGTTTCCTAGGAAACTTTCTGGTGGTTCCTCCTATTGGTTCTAATTTTTCCTTACAACATGACTAACGTAAAAATATGCTAAACAGCAATGTATATGTATAGCCTATATCAGACTCTATGGCATCTTGGGGAGGGAGAGGGAGAAAAATTGAAAACCCAAAAGCTTATGGAAGTGATTGTTGATCAATCAAAATAAATTAATGAAAAAAAATTTTTTTTTAAGCTTCTTTGAATCTTTGGTGGGGCAGGGAGGAGAGGGGAGAGAGCACATGGGACAAAAATGGAGAGATTACCCTTTTTAGCTGTTGTTCCTTTAAGTTTCTCACTGTCCTGGCAGGTTCTGAAATAAGGTTTTTATAGTTTTCGCAGATATTGATTCGGGATTGGGCCACCTGCATAGTTCCCTCTAAAAATGATTTCCAAACAGGATACATGCTCCTAAAACCAAAAGAGGGACACGAGTTAGTAAGGAAGAGAGTTAATCATTTCTTTACTCCAACATTACCTATGTGCCCAAGACTTATCATATAACCAAAACTTCCACCAGGATAAACTGATGAAAATAATCCTTGTACTATTTATGTCTGACACCATATTTTAAGTGCTTTGCAAATCATAAGGTCTTATAAAAAACATTATTAAGTATCACTCAGAAAAGATAAGGAATAATAGAAGTCTTGATTATAACTGCAAACTTATTGAGAGCTAGCATTACTTTATGGTTTAGCTTTTCATATTAATGAATTCTGAGGCCAAATTTGAACTCAGGTCTTCTGGACCTAGGAGTCAGGAAGGCCTCAGTTCAAATCTGGCCTCATACATTCAGTAGCTATGTGACTGTGGTAAAGTTATTTAACCCTGTTTGCCTCAGTTTCCTCATCTGTAAAATGAGCTGGAGAAGAAAATGGCAAACCACTCCAGTGACTTTGAGGAAAAAAAAAAAAACCCAAATGGAGTCACAAAGAGCTGGACACAATTGAAATGACTCAACAACAATAAATAACATGTCACTAATTCAATTTTCTTGTATGGCTTGAAACTATTCTGGGATGATCCAACTCATCAAATAGTATGGATTACCATATTCCATACTATGAGTACAACACATTCAAATTACAAAACAATCAACACTAAAATGATATTGATCATCATTACATCTTCCTTGAAAGGCCTTAGGTCATAAGTTATGAAAGTAATTGTATTCCAAAAGTATGGAGGTCCCAAGAAACAAGGATTTCTGGTTAGCAAATGGAGCTGCTGCCTCTGTGGTTTACATGACTGCTTTAATTCAGGATCATGTGGTTTACTTGACTGTTTTAATTTCAATTTTTAAAAAAATCATTGCTAGGCACAAATTCTAAGGTCAAAGACAGAAAGATCCCAAATACTCCCAAAATATTTATAGCAGCACTTTCTAAAGTAACAGAGAACTAGGAACAGAGCATTTGCCCATCAACTGACAACTGGCTCAACAACTGTAGTTTTGTAATGGAACATTACTGTTCCCTAAGAAATAATAAGTACGAAGAATATAGAAACACATGTGAAGATACATATGAACTGATAAAGAGTTAATTAAAGAGAACCAGGAATACAAGATATACAAGGATAACAACAATGAAAACAGAAACAAAAAAATCTGAAACTGAAAATCATGTAATTATAACAACCAAGCTTGGCCATGAAAAAGACGTAAGAAAATATACCTTTTCTCCCTTCTTTGAAAAGATATGGGGCAGGGCAGCTAGGTGGTGCAGTGGATAGAGCACCAGCCCTGAAATCAGGAGGACCTGAGTTCAAATGTGACCTCAAACACTTGACACTTACTAGCTGTGTGACCCTGGGCAAGTCACTGAACCCCAACTGCCTAAGAAAGAAAAAAAAATATGGAACTACAGATGTGGAACTTTGCATAATATCAATTGTTAGAGTTGATATATACGTTGTTTTGCTACACTACTTTTTCTCCCCCTCTTTTTTATTCTTTGCTAAAAGAATGTATTTCTGGGTAGAAGGGATAGAGATAAATTTAGAAATGAAAATAATTTAAAATCAAAAGATATCAAATGAAAATTTAAAAAAAGGGAAAGTGGTGTAGAATGGTTACAGTACCATAGCATTTCAGAAGGGTAAATATCCAAATTTTTTAAAAAGGGAGGGGAAAAAATCATTCTGCAAACTATAGGCCAGTAAGTTTGACTTTAATTCCTGGCAAAATTACACAATGTATTGTTAGATGAATAGCTGACGAACATCTGGAAAAGGAAGCAGTGATGACACAGGGCCAGCATCACTTCTTCCAGGACAGGTCATACCAGACAAGTCTCATCTCTTTTTGGCAAGGTTGCTAGACTGATAGATCAGGGCAATGCCTTAGATATGGTGACAACCCTCATAGGAATATACATTTAGAGCTATAACAGACTTTAGATGTTGTTGAGACCAACCCTTTCATCTCCGTTGCTTTTCAGTCATTTCAGTCAAGTCTGATTCTGTGACCCCATTTTAAGTTTTCTTAGCAAAGATACTGGAGTGGTTTGCCATTTCCTTCTCCCGCTCATTTTATAGAAGAGGAAACTTAGGCAAAAGGGTGAAGTGACTTGCCCAGGGTCACACAGCTAGTAAGTGTCAAAAGCCAGATCTGAATTTAGGAAGATGAGTCTTCCTGATTCCAGGCCTGGCACTACATCACCTAACTGCTCCTTCATTTCACAAATGAGGAACCTGAAGCTCAGAAAGGTTTAGTGACTTGCCCATGGTCACATAGCTGGTAAGCATCAGAAGTAGGATTTTAGTCCAAATCTTCCTGGTTCCAATTCTAGAACTCTCTCAATTTATACCCTGCTACCTCTCATAGCTAATATTTATTTGATATTTTAGGATTCACAAATCACTTTACCTATATCATTCATTTCTCACAACAATTCTCTGAAGTAGGTGTTTTTATCCCTAATTTACAAGTGAGGAAATTGAGGCCTAGAGATTATGTGACTTGCTCAGAGTCACAAAGTTAGTAAGCGTCTCAGGTAGGCTTCAATTTCATGTCTTCCTGGCTCCCAGTCTTAACTTCACTATATCACCTACCAAGCTAAAATTCATTCATACCATTTTTATGAAAAAGATAGAGAAATGTGATCTAAAACTGTAGTATCAAATTCAAGTAGAAAGAGGGGCCACCATGGCAACTCTACATAAGGATCACTGTGGGCCATATATAGAGTTAGTTTTAAACTGTAATATCTTTGTTTTTTATATTTTCACTTATTTTGTTAAATATTTCCCAATTACATTTTAACATAGTTTAGGCAGTATGTGGCACCTCTGGTCTAAACCAGCACTTCTTAAATTGTGGGTCTTGAGTCCCTTATGGGGTCATGAAAAAATTTAGCAACAATAAAAGGTCTCTGAACACACAATGACCAAAAATTAATTCAACATCAAATGTGTAACAAATCCAAGGTGTTTCTGGCAGCGCTTGCCCATGTTGTGCGACACGACTTCACTGCAGCTTTGGTTCTGAACACAAAGCAAGTGCACTTTGCACTGCACATGCCACCATACCATGCAATGCCACAAAACACCTCAGCTCAGATTTGAGACTATTGTTATGTTATGAATTGCAGGGTCTTTAATGTACATACAAAGTTTTCTGCTCTTACAGAAACATAATAGTTTAATTATGGAAAATAAAGACTTTAATATTTTCCTACTGTCCTTCCTCAGCACGTAAGAATCAAATTAGTGTATCTTTGGATTGTACTGTGTTAGAATATTTAATTTCTTAAATTGTTGTTATCTTCATCTTTTACAGAAACATAGGTTTTTAATTGCAGCAAACAAAGACAAAAGCCCTTTATTAATATTTCTCCACCATCATCACTGTATGTATATGTAAGTATGAACATCAATTTTTTAAAATTAAGCATAAACAAATATAATTTCATAAACTAAGCTAGTATTTGTTTGAGAAATTATTGGCAATATTTATTTATATTTTAGTACAAAAATGTATTTGCTTTGGGTTTTTTTGGTTAAGGATAAGTGGCTAAATTTACACAGAAGGGGTAAAAATACTGATGACAATGCAGCAGAGTCTTTGCTACCAGGTTATAGTACACCTAAGTGACAAGAAAAAGAAAATATGCCGAATTGAGTGGCTCTCAAGAGGGTGAAGTTTAAACAGATTTCCGAAATTAAAGACGGAGTTGTCATATTTTTGACTGACCAGAAATCTGATTTTATTAAATTTTTTTCATAATGATTATGGCTTTCAAGACTATGTTATTTGTTAGCTATCTTTGAAAAAATGATTTAAACATGTCACTTCAAGGAAAAAATTATAACATTTTTGTTAAAATATAAAATTCAAAGTTTTACTAAAAAATATAGTAGAATGGGGGGGTTCTTTAGAATTTACAGCTACAGCTGATTTTATAATTAAAAATAACTTTCCCAAAGATTTAGTTGTAAGTTATAATTGATCATCTGAAGTGCCTGAAGACATAGTTTCAGAAATATTTCCCTTCAAATTTTAATTCTAAAAAACTAAGTCGGGTTCATAAACCATACTTAATTGAAATAAAAAGGGTCAGTCATCTGCCATTAAAAGTTGTAGAAGAATTTGCTGAGTTATCAAGTGATACAGGGTTTAGAACTTGAGTTTCCTAAAAATTCATTAAATGAATTTTGGCTTGGGATTAGGACAGAATTTCCAACAGTTTCTGAAATGGTCCTAAACATACTCCAGCCATTTTGTATTACATATTTTATGTGAAGTGGCATTTTCAGCATTAACAATTATAAAATCAAAATATCAATCAACTCTGAAAAATGTTGAAGACGTTCTACATCCTGCAGTATCAAGTATTCTACCAAGATTTAATTCTTTGTTAAAAAAAAAACCAAGCACATCCATCTCATTAGTATGGCAAATATACCTTCATCTTTAATAAATGGTAAAATCATATGTATACCAAAGAACTGTTTTAAAGTACATTTCTTTATGACTTATTATCAGTAAATGTTTGGTTTGTCTATGTATTTTATATACCTATATATCGGGAGTTGTGTAAAAATTTCTCGGGCAAAAGGGGGTCGAAAGTGGAAAATGTTTAAGAAGCCCTTGTCTAAACAATAGAGAGAGTAGGATGAATTTAGAAATCTGAATGGTCAGACTCAGAGTCGTCATTTTTGATTAAATTGAGGCCATTTACTAAGCACTCCCTCTTCTCTCCTCCTCAATCTCACATCACTCTTTTATCCAAATGAAGAGGTAGCGCTACTACCCGCCACAGCTAAACCACTGCATTCATTCTTGATCCAATTCCATCCTGTCTTCTAACAGAGTGGCCTCTCTATCATCACTAATATCTCTCACTAATCTTCAATCTTTCCCTATCAACCAGCCACTTCCCTAGTGCTAACCCATATTTCCCCCA